CCCAGGTATTCAAAAGTTGGTCCCACGGTATGACCAATGTCTCAATTCTGGTGGCGAATATGTTGAAAAATAGCTGGACACTTGCTGTATCTGTTGCAATAAATATTTCCATGAAATTGTGTTTTGTTTCTGTAAACGGCCCCAGGGAAACTTACTTTGAGGACGCGCCTCGTATATTGTGAGAATTAAGATGGGCTGAACATGCAGAGTTCAGTATCCACCACGGTTTTGTCGTTTCTCCTGTTTGTATCTGCTTATAATAGTGGTAAATAATACGGCGCTTACTACCATTCATACTGATACAAATTTGGTGGATGATGATTCCATGAAAGTAATGTCAGAAAAAATTATAGTGATAACAAGCATTTGTTGTTTGGAACAAAAAAAGTTACACAAGCCTAAAAATGGGGGTTAAAAGTTATTGGTGGAACAATATTTCTTCTGGTGAAAATATTCCATAGCAAGAAATGTGGAAGCCATCAGGGGGTGAGAGACTCAGAACTTATAAGAGGAAACAAAGTTACTAGTCACATTAGCACTTACAAATATTCCTCTGATTGTTGGAAAAAGTGTTCCTGCATCAAAGTACAGTCGCTGGTCCACTATCGCTTTCTGCTTTGGATCCTGTGGATATAATGAATCATCTGCTGCATAGCTGCGCACTAAGTAACTAGCAATTGCATGGCTAAAAAGAACAATGACATAAGCAGCTCAGTATTTTATTACATGTAACATACTGATTTGGTACACTGAAAATATATAAACATTTATTTTCAGCTTTCTCATTTGAGGCATAAGGGTCAAGAAAACAAAATTGAGAATAGTTCTTACAATCTGTGGAATGTGTAAGATAAAGTACCAAGTCTAAAAAATGGAACAGTAACATGACCTATGACCGCTGTGTGAATGTGAGTAGCTGAACCTGTGAGAAAGGTACCAAGGTCAGATTCCATTACATAAATATGCAACACTGATGGACATGTGAACATTGTATCTGAATTATTTGTACTAAGAAGCTAGTATTACCTATCCCAAATAACAAATTCATCATCTGTCAGAGTAGGTATAGTGTGCTGGGGATTGATCTGCAAATAAAAAAAACTGAATGAGAGAGAGAACAAAATGACACAATAACAAAATAATATCACTGAAAATTACAGTGGTGAGGTACATGCAATTAACATACGCCTTGTTTCTATGCATTAATGCCCCATGTTTCTGCAGCTAGATAATCAACACTTTGGCATTTTTACAATGGCAGTCCATATTGTCCTATTCAACAGAAATAAATAATGATAAATTTCAACCATAATTACAAATACCAAATTTAATACAAGCATACATCTTTATTACATTCCATGAATGCATAAGATAGTCAGATGACAATCTATTCTCCTAGATGGAGCTATTTTTGAGGGAAAGCCAAAGATATATGACTCCCACACACGCTTGTAAAACATGCCCATAAATACATGGGAAAAAATTTGTACTGTACTCACTTTTCCACACACGCTTGTAAAACATGCCTATAAATACACGGGAAAAAATTTGTACTGTACTCACTTTAGTAAACTCAGGATTTAATTGCTCCTTCTCAAACAAATTAAGGTTTTTCACTGTAACATCTACACCAACCGCACGTGCAACCAGCAATGCTGCTCTTGATGGGAAGCTAGGAGGGAAGTGATACAAAGTCAACACCATCTGTAACAATAATTTAATATATACTTGTAAATGTTAAATTTTGTATACAACATCACATTTATGTCTATTACCATACAGGTAAAGGAATAATTATTTGTAAAACTTTCCTGATGATGTTGATTTCCACTTCGAAGAGTTGACAAAAAAGAAGCTCAAGGTTCACACCATTGCAAAACATTCAATCCCCCCAAAAGAATTTAATAAAAATCTGCAGATATGTTTATGACCTATACCACCCCAATTTCACATGTTTGGTTATTATGGGTGAACAGTCATGTCAACAAATATCACAAGGTCACCATGTTATGCTCTCCATAAATAAGGAGCCAACAGAACTCTATTTTAAAAAAGGCATAAAATACTGGGTGGCATTATAATAACATTCCCACTATATAGGTACGCATGGCCGCCATGTTGGTACTGACGGCTGGGAATTGAAAATTACGAACTTTGAGTAACCCTGGCATGGCATTCACTACGTTTCATGAAAATCGATCTTTTGGTTTAGAAACTATTTGTGGGTGATTGGCATGGATAGATATGATAATACCAGAACTCCTTATTAAGAGATCAGCCATAAATATTCGTTACTGCTTCCTATTTCTGGGCAAGAAAATTCTTTCATATTTCCAGACAATGCGGATTAAAAAATGTCTAGGCCCGAAATATAGAAATGAGGGACTTTGTCTATGTAACAGCAGTACAAATTTTATTTTATAAATTTCAAAACTTTGTTGGAGGATAATACTGTGTTACAAATGACAATGAACCAATGAATCTGTGATGGACAATTACCTTAATATCGGAACACCACAACCACAGACAAATTGAATCCTAAAACTATTTTAGCCAAAGATTTTGCTTTTCCGCTATCACTTATTTGGTTTGCCACGTAGTTATCTTCCTTGAACGGTTAACCAATGTTACCAAGATTATATTGTGGCACTACTGAAGGGAACGAAGGGAAATATTGTTACGAACGCATTACCATCCTACTTTATCGCCTTTACGTCACAGGAAGTGTGGTCCATGTTTGTGTGGTGCACGTGTGTGGCATAGTTTTAAGACCAGAACGAGAATTATGGTTAATTTTCGTCATAGAACAAAGGGAAAAGGGAAACGATGGAAGAAAGGACACAGTTCAAGTTCGAATCCTGAAATCAAAAGATATAGAAATGTGGCAAAGTCTAAATTTTTTCAGGAACATTCTGGTAAGCACATCATGAGGAGAGCCTCATCTGGGAAAATATTTAAGAAATTTAATGTTCTTCTAGGCAGCGAATTCTTGCTCTCATTATTATCATATACAGCGGACAACATAGAACATTTTCAAACAAACTAAAATATCCACAATATAAGTACAAGATGCAGATATAACCTTAATTTCTAAACACTGACCTCAGTAAATATCAAATAGGAGCTTACTGTGCTGGAATTAAGCTATTCAGTGATCTTCTCCCCACTAATAAAAAGCCTGAAGAAGTTTAAACCAGCACTAAAAGAGTATCTCCTTCCTCACCCCTTCTACTCCATAGAAGAATTTCTCTCAACCAAAAATTCTTATCTGTTATAAAGACAAAAATGCTTTCTAGTGTAATTATTTTCGTGTTAATACTGTAGTTGTGTGTATACTGTTGTGTTTAATACTGTAATTTAAATCAGGTGATCATGAAGGCCACTGTCCTCAGTTTATGACTTGTTTGCCAGAAACTTCTTCTGATGGAAGCATAAAATTGTTCACAGTATGAGTTTTTGCATTATTTTGCTTAACATTTTTCTTCATCTTTAAGTTGGCTGAAGAAGGGCTACATAATCAGAGAATAGATATCACAAGATGTTCGAAATTGTTTTGTTAAAAGATACAGTCCTAACTGTCCTCCACGCACCAGTTGCACAACAAACCCCAATTCTTAAATATGCAGTGGCACTTCATGAACAGCATGAGAATTTTTTATGTCTCATTATCTATTATTTTGGCTGTTTTCATAACCATTTAAAGTTACCACACCTCAGAAGAAAAGGTAAGTTGTGGGTCAAAAAGTTGTTTGATTTCTGAAACCATCTGCAGTATCTTACTCTTTGCAATCTCCAGGCAAAAGACTGTGTATGACCTTACCTTTATAAGGCCATAACTACAGCAACTTTGTACCTTTGTGGTCTGTAATTGTGCCATCCAGTGTTCAAGAGCCAAGAGCCAAAAGTCGTAACTTTGGGCTTGGTTTTAATTGAGCCCTGATATTATCTAGTTTTTCTTTAGTCAGTACATGTCTTTTTTGAGAGTCCTTTTGTCTGGCGCTGATCCCGTAGAATATAGTTTTATTACACGCAGCCGCGTGGTCTGAGGCATCATGCTTCAGACCGGCAATACAGAATGCGCGCTGGTTTGAGTCTCGGGGGAGAAGAAATTTTCTCATGAGCTTTCGACCAGTGTA